TGTTCCATTTCGGCCTGTAGCTTATGCCGCAACTCCTCAGAACTTGTACTCTGCACTGTAGCCATGGATTCTACCAGTTCTTGCAATTGATTTTCCTGCTTCTTGAGTTGATCCTCCAGTGTCCTAAATCGAGTACTTTCTGCCATTCCTGATACCTTCGCGGCTGAGAATCGACCGCTCTGATACCAAATGTCAGACCTGCAAGTTAATTTCTGGAATTGAATTGAATCTGGGAAAGAATCAGGAGGAAGGAACAAGATTGAGAAAGGAGAGAAGAGAAGAGAAAGAAGGAGGGAACTAACAGATAGGAGAGAGAAAGAAAGCAGTGGAAGTTTTCCTCATTAAAGTCATAACCGAAATTCTGTTACTGGAAGGCTATTTATGTAATTGGCCCTCAACTAACTCTGCCTATTATACAAGCACCGCCCTTGTTAGTAGAACGACGTAGTATTGCTTCTAATAGTTTTATAAACGCACAACCCTTAGCATTAAACGACATTCCCTTTTAATTTCTTGTTCCTGACACCCTCTTTCTGTCTCATTCACCGCTTTTGCTTGGCACAATGGCTCTTGCTCTCCACCGCCACTTCCATCTCAACTTTAACATTTTGCCACTCACACCACTATCACCCCCATTGCCCTTCGCTCCTCTGACCATCCCTCTACCCTTCACCACTCCTGCCACCCCTCTGAGTGCTCTCTTCTTTGGAGATTCGTATATTCCGGAGAGGTGAAAGCGAATTCATCTACTTTTCTCCGTTTGAGCTTGAATTTTGTGACGGAATTTTGGTCAAACTTGACTATGATACTGGCAAATTGGCCACCAAATTTGTTCAAAGACGAAGAGTTTATTGTCATGCGTGGATAAAATTGGTTTCAGTTTCCTTTTCTTCCTCTTCTTTTTTCTTTTCCCTTCTTGTTATTTTTAGTATCATTGTGTCTATATTTTGTGTTTTACTTTGTGTAGATACTGGATTCCTGATTTCGTGATTAAAGAGAGGATTGATCATGTCCTTTCAGCTCTGGTAAGAATTTCTTCTTTTTCTCCATTAGTTCATTTTTGTATTATTTTAATTTGACTGATTCCTTGTTACTTGGTTACTGGGATTAATTTACTTGATTTCAGTTCCTTGTATCTCTGTTTCTTGATTTCTCTTTAATTTGATCAATGAACTCATGATAAACCTTTTCTGCAATTCAAGGTGATGAATAGTTTCTAATCTTAGAATCATATGTTTATGGATGAATTCTTTATCTCAGTGCTCCGCAATTTACTTAGTTTCTGCAAAATTGGTTGTGGAATTATGATGTGTAGTTGATTGTGGACGACGAATTCTATTAATTGATGACCGCTGTTTTATTACTTCCTTAACTTGGATTACTTCCTTAACTTAGTTTCTGATTATGATGTGTAGTACAATTGCTTAAGTTTGCAGGTGGCTACTGAGTGTGTCCTTGTTCTGAATACTATGAGATCCAAGCTTCCTTTAGTAGTTACTACTACAGATGATGCCAAAGAATCTGTAAAGGAGGAAATTCGCTTGAGGTGAAAACTTTCTGAAATTTTTTGACCATGGGCTTATGTTTAGCTTATCTCTGCGGATTGCTGTTAGTTATCTTGATAATTGATATTTTAACATTTCTGGTCAAGTTGTGCATTTCTTAATGATTGAAGGTTTGCTTTTGTTTCTGCTTCCTCTCACTAATTTGTGGTGCTGTGAATGGAGTGGGTTTGAGTTCAATTATTTAAATCAAAAGCTTGTGGTATGCTACATAATTTTCTTCAGAATTGCATAAGTTAACTACTTGAGATAATTGATGTTACTCTTTTTTTTCACCCCTCTTTTTTGACATCGAAGTCCAATTAACCATAGAATGAGAAGATGAATTTGACCATGAAGTTCAGTCGCTGAACCATATAGTCAAATCTAGCTGAAAATTTGTGTATAGCCTCAGTAAATGTCATCACAAGTGCTGGTGTGAACCCTTGATAGAAATGAAGTTAACATGGTTTCAACTGATGTTCCTTATTTTCTTTTCGTGCAGGATGAGTCTCAGGACCATATAAAGAGGTAGCAGCTTCATGAACTAGCCATGCTGAACTCAAATTTTAGAGAAGAGAGTCCAGGACCAAGTGGTAGCATGTCACCTTTCAATACTAGTGGAATGAAACGTCCCAAAACTAGGCATTGAAATGTTGTATCTGCTGCTTCATTGAAGTACTTTCTCTTGACCTCTGATCTGAAGAGTTATGCCTGAACATATACAATTCGTGGCTATCAACTCTCCTTACGGCTCAATGCGCAGCTACCTAAGTGAAGAATTGATATGAACAAACAAAGGGGTATTTGGAGATATGTGTTTTTTACTGGAATTTTTTTCTTTTAAGTTTCTATTTTTTTACTGAAGAACATAAAACAGAGACAGAAACATGACGAGGCGGTTGGAGTAGGGGTGTAAACGGGAGAAACAGAAATTGGTTTATACAGTTGGCCTCTTGAGTTAGGATTTATTTGTAACTGATAGTTTTTAGCTTTTTGGTTTATACACTTGAAGCATTTGATCAAGTGTTTTTGTTACTTGTTTTCTTACCTTTTTTTCATGAAATATTGCTTCTTGATTTTGTAGTTATTGTCACATGAGTGAAAAATTGCTTCAAACTTTTCCTCTCTCATATTTTTATCCTGCTATTGGTACTTAATAGAGAAGTTTGAGTTTTAGTTGTGCATAGCGATTATGATTGATGAAATCTTTTTTGAATTTTGCATAAGTATTAGAAATAAGAAAGAATTTTTCTTTATTATAATATATCAAAACACAGTTGAAAACACCACGGCTGAGATGGGGAAATATTTCTTCACAAAAAGGGATAATGGATCAAAACATGCTAAAGGAAATGCTTACCAAAGAAATTGATATGAGAGTGAAAAAAAATAAATTATTAAAGGCACAAATTGTTTTTTTCTTTTAAATCTTTAGTAAAAATTAGCTAAATGTAAGAAAAAAGAAATTATTATATAGAAAAAAGAAAAAAAAAAATTTTATGTAAGCAAATTTTCTTGAAAACAATTCTAATTCCTAATGAATTCTTCTCTCATACAAACAAAGAATTTGGAATTCCAAATAAATTCCGTATCAATTCTATGCATTTCCCAAACGAAAAAATTGAAATGACTTGGAATTCCAGTTCTATAGAATTTCGATTCTAATTCAATTCTAATTCTATAGAAGCAAAGGCATAGTCGGAGAAGGGAATATAAGTGAGAAATTTCAAATTTGATACATCCTACTTACACTTCAAAAAAAAAACTTAATCAGGCCAATCGTAATAAAAAATTTTTATTTAAAGCTTTTCATTTAATGATGTATTTTACATCTACTAGTAGATCAATTAGAGTAAATGCTATATTTTCTCATTGCATCATTGAAATTAGGAGAGATTGCTTGTTAAATCCATAAAATTAATGAAATTTCAAATTTAAAGATTGTAAAGCATAAGTGAACTCGGGCTAGCCCAAATTCAGCAGTTGATGAAAAGGAAAGACATGTTGAAAAGGAAAAATCCAAGGACAAAGACAAAAGGCTACAACGCTATGTTAAACTAACAATTTGACTAGTAATAGCAACATCACTGCAAAAGATCGATCTCATGAATTTGCAGGAAATATTTAGGTATACTGCTCGCTGTGTTAGATAACATAATAGCTTAAGAAAAAAAAATGTACTAGAGCTCAATTGTAGAAATTATTAAGTTAAACACAAAGATTGATGCTGGTATTTGTACTATATATGAAGCATATACCAAGGTGCTACCCTTCAGTGTAAGGGTTGGGTCTGATATTTCAATTTGCCATGTTATCTGGTACTAGGTGGCATATTTGAGAGTTTGAAAGGTTTCACTAAAAGTACGAGTCTACTTTGCCATGTTATCTTGTAATAGGTGGCATATTTAACAGTTTGAAAGACAAATCTACTAGACAAAGCTTTCACTGAAAGTACTACTTAGCTCCGTTTGATAAAACTGAATCTGAATTCTGAATTTTGAATTCTGAATACTGAAACAATTAATTTGTTGAATATTAAGCACTGATAAGAGATATATGAATATCTGAATCTTAATGCTAAACATATTTATACTGTTTGATAAACATTTATAACTTAATGCTTAATAAACTAAATTGTACAATTTTGCCCTTCTATCTTTCAATCCAAAAAGGAAATTGAACCTATGATTTAATTAGCTTAAAATTGTTAGGTATGAAAATGACAATATTTATTTTTAAATCAAAGTAATATAAAAGAAGAAATATATTATGGAAAAGTCCAAATATCGGTGCAAATATATTTTTAAATCAGAGTTTGATAAGAAAAGTCCAAATATAAACAAAAGGAAGCTGCAATAAACAAGTTTTAAATTCACACCAAATTATATAGAAATTTAATTACTTCAATGGAAAAATGTTGAAGCAAAACAACAAATAATCAATGTCACTTATCTTGAAAAAAATGAATTTGAGATCGGTGAGTACGGTAGCAATAAAAAAAATTGGGAGGAAAAAATGACAAAATTATGAAAGAGTAGAAGAAAGATGGAAAAAGATAAGGAGTAGACAGATGTGAGGAGCATGGAGAAATTGTAAAAAAAATCATTAAATAGGGAGAAAATAGAAGTAGAAAGCCATTAGACAGAAAATGTTAAGTTGTTTAATTAGATAAGAATTTTGGATAGAGAATATTAGGTTATTTAATTCAATAAGGATTTTGAATGTAATTAACAAATAAGGATAGATTTGGTAGATAAGATAAAGTAGTTGAAATAAATCTCTTGATTCTTATCAAATTAAGCATTCAGTTACGATTCTTGTGCTGAAAAAAATACATACAAATTCAGCACCACTTAATAAATTCAGCAGAAAAATTTTTATTTATCAAACACCCAAAACACTTGAATGTCTGAATGAATTCAGTTTCAGCACTTTTTTATGTTATCGAACAGACACTTAGTCATCCATCTGCTCTATTTCTAAAGCAATAGAGCTACATTGGGGCGCCGTTGACTCGTCAGAAGAACTACTATTGCTACTTCTTTGCATGGATATGGGTGAATCTGGAGGATAAAACGATGGTTTAGGAGGCAACTTTAGGCCACTAGAATGGCCTTCAAGCATTTCTAAGACTTCTCTTATTGAAGGACGATTCTCAGGTGTCATCTGTATGCACCACAAGGCAATCAAAATCAATTTTCGTGTAATTGTCTTTTCTTCTTCAGTTGCTTGATCTCCGATTTCCATTTCCTTCCCCTGATCGAATTTGTCATATATCCATGAAGGGAAGTATATTTGACTTGAATGCTCAGCATCAGCATCCACATTTCTCATCCTTCCTGCCATCTCCATTAGTAACATTCCATAGCTGTAAACGTCTGTCTTATGCGAGACTCTTCCAATCTTTTTATAGAACAACTCCGGGCCATGTAACCTAAAGTTCCTCTCGCAGCAGTAAGAGTTGCAATACTCTTTTGCATTGGGTAAAGTTTCGCAAGTCCAAAGTCCGAAACTTTTGGAACAAAATTCTCATCAAAGACATTATGCGGTTTAATATCAAAATGCAGAATTTGCATATCACACCCCTGATGCAAGTATTCAATGCCACGAGCCACCCCCTTTGCAATCTCACAAACTTGTCTCCAGCTCAATGGAGAACCATTTCGACAGTTTGAGAAAGTTAACTTATCCAGAGAGCCATTTGGCATGTAATCATACACTAGAGCATGTTTTGAGGCAGTAACACAAAATCCCACTAACCGAACCACGTTCACATGGTGTATTATTCTAATAGTTGCAACTTCATTGATGAACTCTTGTCCATTAGCTTTTGATTTGTTCAGCATCTTGACAGCAACTGCACCTCCACTGCGCAGTTTTCCTTTGTAAACCAAACCATAGCCTCCTTCACCTAGTTTCTCCTTAAAATTGTTGGTCATTGTCCTTATTTCTCTGTATGAGTACCTAATGGGCATGAGGCTGTTGTTTGCTTGTAGGAAATCTTCTATTGTATCATACCTCGATAAATGCCTCCGACGATACTGATAAAGGAGGAAAGCAAACAAGAGGATAATGCCAATGACATGTTTTGCTGCAATAAGCACAACTGAAATAGAAGAACAAAACAATGATTGACTGACTTCTAGTATATTCCAATAGACAAAGTTTTCAACTATAAATCAGATGCCTTACCCGAAACTAAGCCAATTTCAAAGCAATCTGCTTATAAAAGAAAACTTAAAGGATTATAATGGAAATATTGAAATAGAAAGAATCAGATTGATTAAAGAATGGTTTTTCTGTAAATCAAAGAAATCAGATTACTCACTTTTACATACATATGGCTGGATGACATGTCTGTAGACGAATCCGAAGATTTCTGTCCATATGAGAAGCACATCGCCTAAGTACAAAAGTCAACATCAATGTCCAATTGGATGCTTGAAAATCAACTTTTATTAATTGCAGCTATTTCACACTCATGTGCATACAAGTTTCAAATTACCACAACAATTAAAAAAAATAGTTTCAAATAAATTCAAAGTATGTTTGTTTTGCATGGTTCAAAGGGAAAATTCAATAATTGATATGTTTGTTGGGATCAAAAAACAAATAAGCTTTTTCAAAAAGTCAACCCATCCTCCTGTCTAAAATCCCACTATTCTAATTTGACTATATTCCTATATATTTTTGTTTGCTAAAAAAGATTTGCAGCAACAAATAAAGACAAAATAGCAGTTTCTGGTATTCTGATTCCCCAAAACAAAAAAAGATTAGACAACTTTGAGGTATATGCGGTTGTGTACTATTATTGTATTTCTTGCATATTTTGCTGTACATTTACAGGGAATACTGTATTTTATTAGTTGCTATTGATTGGGACATCAAATGTTGTAAGAAGTATAATAGTTTCTCTAAGAAAGCATAATAAAACAAAAGACATACCTGCCCCACATTCGACTTAACAAGAAAATAAGATCTTAATAAAAGTGCCTTAATAGTTAATTCTTTTCAGTTAATGCCATATGTAAAGAAATCAAGGATGAGCATTTATTAGATAACAAGGTATCTTACTCAAAGAACTGATATTTGGTGATGCAATTCGTTACATGAATGATTTATCAAATACAAATTAAGAAATCTACTTGAAGCTGGAAAATGAAAGGAACTTTACCAACTAAAGAAATCCAGGATAAGCATTTATTTGGTTGTTCTATAATTTAAAAAAAAAGAAAGAAAGATGAACCACTTCACATCTTAACTTAAAATCTTCCAATATACGGTAATTTGCAATTAATTTCCCAAAAACATCGTTTCAAGCAGTAGTACTGAATAAGTACTTGTTAAGTGGCTAATTGTGCATATAATTGGTACATATTATCCCCTTTATTTTGCTAAAATATGGCGTTAATCAATATATTTCACTCATATTTGAATTTTGGTACTGTTTGTAGGAGTTGTTAGTGAGAATGAAGTAAAAGGCGCGTTAAAAGTCGACTTTGCAGAAGACGTCTTGTAAAGCGTGCCCACGCTTTGTCAAACTCGAAGTGGTGCTTCTAAAGGTCCATGTCCAGAAGAGCTGTCATTATAAAGCGTGCCCACGCCTTATTTGGCAGAGCAGTCAAAAGTTCGCAAGACATAAGATAAATCTGTCAATTGATCAAGGAGCTGGTTGCATCCCATGGGCTGACACATTAGCCACGGATTGAAGACCTTGAGGGGCCATGATTCGATGTAATTATTTTGGGAAATCAATTAAAAGGTCTTAGTTGGGTAGTTTAGGGAACTAGGAGTCTTAAAAGGAAAGGGGAGCCCATCCCCTATTAATAGGGGAGAAAATAGACGTGGGCGGAGATTCATGATCTATCTAAAATCCTTTTATTCTCTCGTTGGTTTTATCTTTGAAGGGAACGAGCCGTCGTCTTGAGATTTCTCCTGAGGAACTTAATTACTATGAAAACTTTGAATTGCTTTGTTGTCATGACTATGCGGCAAGGCTAGATCGTTTATCTAGTTGAGGAATAAATCAAGGATCGGGGCACCATAACTGTGAGATCGTTTTAATTGTTTATTTTTTATTTATATATTCATGGGTATTTGATTATTCTCTATTTTTCCTTGAGTTATTATTGTTTAGATTTATTGGATAATTAGGCCTGTTATTCGATTGTCTAAATAATTGATAGCCAATTAGGATGTTGGCGCGTTGCCTTTAAGCATCTTGATTAGTGGCAAACGAGACAATTTCACCGCCTCGCAAGCGGTCTAATCTGGATCGTGGGGATAATTAATCTAGCCTAAATAAATCCGCATGTGTGTTTGTCATCTAAATCCTGTGACCGTTTCTGGGGTTGTCTAGTCACAAGAGGGTAGTTTATGAGCGTCTCTTGACTACCATAAAATTAAGGAAAGATTGGTGGTTGGGCGCGTCACTTGACCACTATAACCAGTTTATTTGTGAGTATATGAATTGTCCCTTGTGTCTGTGATCAGTTGTGTGCTTCAGTGCCAAGATTAATTCCTTGACTAGGTTGTTTTAATTAATTGTTATTTGTGTAATTTGGTTCCTGCTATCTTACTCAACTTTGAATTTTCGTTTTTACTCCTTTTTTAATTAGTTGGTACTATTGCTAAAAATCCCCCCCATCTTCCTGTGTGATTTGCCTACCAGTTTCCTGAGGAGACGACCCTACTTGCCCTGTTTACAAATTAAATTTGAGATTGTGTTGGTTGGCAATTAGGCTGTTATTTTTAACTTTATTTTTGGAGGTTTGACACCCACCAAATTTTGGCGCCGTTGTTGGGGACCTGGTGTTTTAAGTGACTTATTGCACAGGATTTAGTTTTTTTTTTTTTTTTTATTTTATGCCTCGATCTTCTCGTACAGGAGAATTAGAATTTGATCTAGAGATCGAGAAGACTGCAAGAAGGTTGACCAAGGAGGCAAAGTTGCGTAAGCAACAAGATTCAACGTCACCTTCATAATCTGAGCAAGAGTTTGTTTCAGTGATTCATCAAGTGAATCTGAAGAAGAAGAAGTGCATATTCCCGAGTAGCAATGGCAGCCCCAAAGACTTTGAGGGAGTTGGCAACTCCTAACGTGAACCAACAGCCATTATGCATTACATTTCCTAACACGGAAGAGGCATTTGAGCTTAAATCTGGTCTTATTCACTTACTTCCTACTTTTCGTGGTATTGCAGGTGAAGACCCACATAAACACTTGAAGGAATTTCATGTGGTGTGCTCCACAATGAAACCTCAAGGAGTCACTGAGGACCACATCAAGTTGAGAGCCTTCCCTTTCTCTTTGGCAGATAAGGCTAAAGATTGGTTATTTTACCTGCCATCTGGATCCATCACTACGTGGGAAGAATTGAAGAGAAGATTCCTCGAGAAATTTTTCCCTGCCTCTAGAGCCGCCAATATAAGGAAAGAAATATGTGGAGTTAGGCAGGCGAATGGGGAAATTCTATATGAGTACTGGGAGCGCTTTAAACAACTGTGTGCCAGCTGCCCGCATCATCAAATCCCTGACCAGCTCTTAATACAATATTTCTAGAGGGATTATCACCCATGGATAGGAGCATGTTAGATGCAGCCAGTGGCGGTGCTCTGGTTAACAAGACCACAGACGAAGCCACGTTATTGATCTCCACCATGGCTGAAAATTCCCAACAATTTGGAGTGAGAGCTGATGGAGCAATAAGAAGGGTCAATGAAGTGAATCACTCTGACTTAGAGGGTAAACTATCTGAGCTTACCTCTCTGGTACGTCAAATGGCAAGGGGCAATTACAATCTGTGAAGACTTGTGGTATCTGTGCTGCTCCCGGACACATGACTGACATGTGCCCAACTCTCCAGGAGGATTCACCTGAACAAGCCAACAGTGGGAGATTTTTCTGGACCACCTCCACGAAGGAATGATCCTTTTGCACCCAATTACAACCCAGGGTGGCGAAATCATCCTAACTTTAGCTATGCTTCAAAACCCCCTGGTTTTCAACAACATTTCCAACCACGGCCACCAGTGCAACAACCATCCACTTCCATTCAAACATGTCTCTTGAAGATATGGTGAAGTCACTGGCCCAAAGCACGAGTCAATTACAGCAAGAGGCTCAAAGATCTCAACAGGAGTCTCACAGATTTCAACAAGAGACTCGTGCTAGCATTAGGAATTTGGAAGCACAAATGTCAATTGGCAACTTCCATGAGCAACCTGGAAAATAGCAATAGAGGGAAGTTACCATCTCAAGTAATTCCTAATCCCAAGGAGAATGCCAGTGCAATGCAATTACGGAGTGGCAAGGAGGTACAGTCTCCTAGGCGTGCCCACGCCAGAAAGAAGAAGTGCCCAGGAAGGTGGAAGAGGAAGAGAGAAACAATCCTCTGAATCTCAAAGAAAGTTGACATTCCTCCTTTTTCCTGGCAGGTTTACAAAAGCTAAAAAGGAAGAATCTGAGAAAGAGATTTTGGACACCTTCAGGAAAGTGGAGATCAATATTCCTTTGTTGGATGCTATTAGGCAATTGCCTAAATATGCTAAATTTTTGAAGGGCTTATGCACTAATCGCAATAAGTTGAGTCTGGATGACAAGGTGAAGGTGGGGGAGAATGTCTCAGCGATTTTCAAAGGAAGTTGCCCCAGAAATGCAAGGATCCATATGTTTACTATACCATGCATAATTGGCAATCAAAGAATTGAAAAAAGCATGCTTGACTTAGGTGCTTCAATAAATGTCATGCCTCTTTCAATTTTTAAAGTTTTGAATTTAGGACCCCTCAAAGAAACTAGGGTAATCATTCAACTAGCAGATAGGTCTAATGTCTACCCTGAGGGTCTAGTTGAAGATGTTCTAGTAAAGGTCAATGAATTCATTTTTCCTGTGGATTTTTACATTGTTGATATGAATGATGAATACTCTACAATTCAGCAGTGATTCTTTTGGGTAGACCCTTCATGAGTACAACAAGGACTAAAATAGATGTACATGAAGGACTTTATCTGTGGAATTTGATGGAGAGAAGGTCACTTTCAATATTTTTGATGCAATGAAGCATCCTGTGGATACTGATCTGTAAATTTTGTTGGCATGACTAACACCATTGTGCAAGAGAATTTTGAACAAATTTCATGGGGGACAAGTTGGACTTTGTCTTACAACAAGGCAAGACCAATTTGGAAGTGGACGACATGGAGGAGGAGGAAGTCAAAGAAGCTATCATGTCCTTACATTCACTACATCCGCTTCCAGGCAGGTTTGAAAATTCTTTTCTACCATTACCCACTTCTAATGAAAGAATTCTACCTTCTGTTCAACAGGCACCTAATGTGGAATTGAAGGAACTGCCCGAGCATTTGAAATATGCTTACTTGGGAGATAACAAGACTTTG